TTCTTATCATTTCATGGATACCACTGGTTTCAGTTAAATGAAAGTGGCCTCACCAGTGCTCCTTCCACAGCTTAAACACACCTCATAGTCCTGGGCTGTGTCACCAGCAGAGAGGGCAGCAGGTCAGGGGGGATTCTCCCCCTTTACTCAGCTCTTGTGAGGTCCCACTTGGCCAGTTCTGGAGCCTCCAGCATAAGCACATGGAGCTTCTGCTGGAGAGGGCTCAGAGGGATCTCAGTGTATACAAATACATAAAAAGGTCAAAGAGGACTACAGCCAGGCTCTGCTCAGTGATGCCCAGTGACAGGACCAGAGGCAATGGGCACAAACTGGAACACAGAAGGTTCCCTCTGAACATTAGGAAACACTTTCACTGTGAGGGTGACCAGGCACCTGGTACAGGTTGGCAAGGGAGGTCGTGGAGTGTTCATCTGTGGAAATACTCAAAAGTCTTCTGCACAGTCCGGGCAACCAGAGTCACCCTGGGTCATCCTGCTTGAGCAAATGGATTGGACCCGAGGGATCTTGAAGGTCCCTTCCAATCTAAACCATTCCATGGTTCTATGATCTAAGGCTGATGGATGCAAACCCTTCATGTGTGAAACAGGAGCTTAGATCCAGCTGTGTTGGCTCCTGACTAACTCTTTCTTCCCCTTGCAGTAAAAGAGCAGTGACTGAGCACCAGCTCATGCATGACAAAGGGAGGGCACTTCAAGGGCAGAAGCGCCTGATGTGGCTCCACAACGCCCTGGGGAGCGTGCACACAGCCAGCAGCAGGGATATTTCACTTTCAAATGCCCCTTGGTATTCACAGAAGAGCCAAGACCCCTCAGATCTCTACAACAGCATCAGCAGAGACCAGACTTCGAGCCTGCTGAAGCAGCTGGTGGAAAAAGGGGAGGGTTTCCTCCCATTAAATCAGCTGGATTTGCTGCAGAAGAGCCCAAAGGGGAACTGGAACCCACAAGACCTTTTTGACCTCCTTCAAATGAAAGAGCTGGGCAGCAAGAGAAGCCCGAGTACCCAGCCACATAACTTTTCCCACTAGCCTCAACCCAGCTCTGTCCAACCTTTGCTTTACACGTGTGATGTGGTAAGGAAAATCTCTGGCACCAAGGTGAACTGCAAAAGCAAAATCCTCTCCATTTGGTCCTTTAGCTACTCCTAGATGTTGAAACCGCCCCCCCTGTGAGGAGCCAGGCTCTCTCCAGAGCTGCACTCTGAGCCTGTGAGTGTGAGATTGTTATTAGGGACAACAAGATGGGGTCACTTGTCACAGGGCAGAAATCTCTCCCTGCCTGTTGTTGATCCCTTAGGGCTGTGGCAGCTCTTGTAGCCCACAAGCTACACAAGTTTGGATCATTAATCTGCCTATTCACAGGCTCACCTGCAGTCTCATGTTTTGCCTCCTGAAGCAGCAGTTACCTCCTGACACCAGATTCTCTTCTGTCCTACACCTGCCTGCAGTTCTGCCCTATTCTGTAGCAGGAACGACTTTCCTTATACTTTAGGTCTAAAGGTTTGTTTTTTCCTGCTTCTCCAGCACATTGGATGGTTTAAGCCTCTCATCTCTCAGCTGTTATTTCAGGCCAGCAAACTTTTACCAAGCAATCCCCACCCTCCCAGCCAAAGCCCCCAGTTCTGCTGGTGGAAGAGATAAGAATCAGCTTCCAGGGTCCCTTTTTGTGCCTTTAATTTCAAGATTTCTTGTCTTTGTTCATGTGAAACCCTCTCCAGAAGCTCCAACTGCCTCAGGTTTCCTCAGCAGAAAACCAGATAATCTGTGTTTCCTGAAAGAGGCAGCACATGATTTTGCTCTTCACCTTCAGGATCAAACTGACCAGCTCTGTCTCAGCAAAGCAAGGTCCAGTTTAATTGCAAAATGAGTCTTTCAGAAGTTAAATCTCTTGTCATGTGTGTTACAAATAGCTCAGTGTAAGGACTGTGTTAGACACACCATTTAAACCCTGAAATTCCTCTTGTTGCTGGTAAGACTTCAACTTCATGTGCAGAAGGTATTTCTAAGCTATTTAAACCCAGTAACTCATTGATGTTAATAATAAACCCCCTTTTCTCCCTCTGAATCACACTTGCCTTTTATTTTGTAGAAATATAAATAAAACAGAGCAAAATCCTCTTTTGCCAGTACAGAATGGTTAGGGTTGGAAGGGTCCTTAAAAGATGGATGAGCATGGAACCACAGTTCTTCCCTCATGTCATTCCTAGAACCTTCATGCCAGAGATTCCCAAGGCCAACCCAACCATGACCTGAAGCAGATGTTTTTGAAGAGCAGGTGAAGGCCAAGATGAAACTGGGTTTTACTGCCCAAGTGATGTTTGTTGAGCTGGGGGTGGGAATCCTTCCCCCACAAAAACCTGCCTCTGGGCTGTGCCAGACCTAGAGCTGGATGAAACCGAGGGAAGCTGCCCCAGAGCAGCTCAAGACCTCTTGGAAACCTGTGTCCTGCCCTGTTATCAGTCTGTTTTACCCTCAGAGACCTGGTTTGTGTTGTGTGGGGCTGAGGGGCCGTTTCCTCAGCCCTGGGAAAGGCTGAGGTGTCTTGGTGGCACCTGAACCCGGGAACACCTCATCCCTGCGGGCACCACACGGGGCACCGACCGCGTGGGGGGGTGAGGAAGAACCAAATCCCCCCTCACAAACCAAATCCCCCCTCACAAACCAAAATTTCCCCTCACAAACCAAAATTTCCCCTCACAAACCAAATCCCCCCTCACAAACCAAAATTTCCCCTCACAAACCAAAATTTCCCCTCACAAACCAAATCCCCCCTCACAAACCAAAATTTCCCCTCACAAACCAAAATTTCCCCTCACAAACCAAATCCCCCCTCACAAACCAAAATTTCCCCTCACAAACCAAAATTTCCCCTCACAAACCAAATCCCCCCTCACCAACCGACGCCCCC